GCCAATGGCAAGTTTCAACAATTGCATTTGATAGATTGCTAATAGATGTATAAAATTCAGGTGAATTCATTACGTTACTATTGTCATTCAATGGTTCATCATGTCTTTTTAATAGATTATAACATGCTGTAGCTGTACAATGTATACGCATAAATAGTAAAGCTAATGTTTCGCTATTTAATCGATTGACCTATAAATAATGAAATGTGAAAAATTTGTTTTTTTCTCGCTCAAATAAATATTTACAAGAGTAAGAAGTTGATCAGTTGATTGCATCAATATAAGTTGTTGATCAAGTTTTGTAATACCCATATGAATAAGATCTTGACGAAGAAGCGTCGCTAATGTAATACCATTTATATGATATTGAAGAAATATTTCACTAATATCTGATTGAATTCCAGCTAAACCTTAAATTAATAAACAAGACAAATCGTATATATTTTATCTATTGTAATATAATTACCCGCTATCCATCTTGCAACTTCATTCGATTCCCAACGAGCAACCATCGTTGCTCGTTCACGAGTTAATTTAATAGATCCACTGTTATAATGTAATGATTGCATTTTGATTTATTGCAACAACAAAAAACACTTAATATTTGATTATACTTTTTACATATTGTTTAACAAGTAAATAAATGATTTTTTTTTACTAATGGAAGAATATATATATAAAAAACAACCTGTCATTTTGTCTTTTTTTGATTGGTAAAACAAGAAAATCAATAAAAATAAAAAAGAATTCTGCAGAGGGCGTTGGACATGGAATCTATATATAATAAAAGATCCTACTGATGAAAAAAAATCCTGAACTATTCTACATTGATGTGCTAGAATCTTTAAATAGATAAGAAAGTAACATAATCCTTTTAATAATAAAAATCCTACATTTACATAATAGTATAAAATTAGATACTTAATGTATGATTTTATTTTTAATATCATGTCATATGCAGAAGATTCTGTATGAATAAAAAAATATGAATGTTTCTATTAGATAGATTAATATTTATTTTATGTAAACAAAATTAGAAAGTAAATAAAGCTCGAATAGTTTCATCTTTAAGCCAAGCATCAACAAACTCTGATACATTGATAACACCTGATTTATCTTCATCTAATTTTTCAACAATTGCATTAGCTGCTGGTTTAGGACCATCATTAATAAGATCTGTAATATTAATATTTGCTAATGATTGGTGATAACCTTGTAAGCATTTAAGTATACGTTCAAGTTCTTTTTGTGTAACATGATTATCACCATTTTTATCGATAATACGAAATACAAAATCAGCTTTTTCAACTGGTGATTCAGTTTGAAAGAATTTTATACTCATTAAATATTCAAGAAAATCAATATAACCATCATTATTTGTATCAATTGCCGAAAAAACACAATCAGTTAAATATTTGGAATTTTTACGTTTTGTCATTGGTAAATAATCACCTAATAATATTTCCATTTGAGATTTTCTTAAACGACCATCAATAGTTACAGAGAAAAACTTTGTATGTTCAGCATTAATTTCTTCATCACTAAAACCAGTTATAGTACGACAATGTATAAGAAGTTCTTCAGTTAAAGTTTTATAAACTACATTAGGTTTTCGAAATAGATTTCCCATGTAAATTATTTCAATAAAATATAAATACGAAGATATTTAATAGAAAATGTCGAAGAGTGCACACACGTTGTTTTTATTTTGTCTTATGTATTCATATAACGTGAAGACATTTTCTTTCCTTCTTTCTTTCGTTCTGCCTCTAGAGTAAAGAGAATATTGTTGATCTACGAACGATAGTATACGATGAAAAAAGTTGAACAGAAGGATAAATATCTTACAGATATTTTTCATGAAAATAAAATTTAAAAAATATTTATATATACTTTAGAACGTACAAAATGTTTGTAATGTTATCATGCCCATTTTTTTGTTGTTGTATCTTATCAGAAATATATCTGTATAGTATAAGTTACACTTTTTATTATCAAAAACAAAAACGCCACATTCATAAGAGATAAGCAAGAGACATTGTTTTTTTGTCGTCTAAAACTTAAAATCGTTTGTAATGAATGAGAAGTTGCAGCGCTCCATTTTAAAGAGCATAATTCGTCGTCTAGAATTACAAATGTATTCAGTCCTATAGATACTAAATCGTTTATGCGTTACGAAACAAACAAAGCAGTTTTACGCGAACAGGCCGACAAGTAAATGTATTATTGTAAGTCAATGAAAGGTAGGTTTCTGACTTTATTTTGCGGCTATGGTGTCTTTGACTAAATCCAGTTATAGGTAACTACCTATAATAATAGACAAAGTATAGATTAAAACGTTTCTATGATGACGTGTCATTACTATATTTGTTTTTATCTATTCTTCGTTTACTTTATTTCTTCGTAGTATATATTATATCATTTCGTTTTAGATACTAATACGGCAAAAATGGATTTTCGACGTCGTTCATTTCTACTTTCACATGTTCAACGTACATTAGATTTTTATGAAAAATCAGTTGATCCTAAAGGTGGTTTTTATCAATTTTATAAAGATGATGGAACTGTCTATGATCCATATACAAAACATTTAGTATCATCAACACGTTTTGTATATAATTATGCTATGGCATATATTCATTTTGGTAAAAGTGATTATCTTGAACGAACACATCATGGTCTTGATTATCTACGAAATGTTCATCGTAATCCTGAAACAGGTGGTTATGCATGGGTCATTTATGATGGAAAAATAAACGATGATGCAAATCATTGTTATGGTTTAGCATTTGTTCTATTAGCTTATGCTTGTGCATTACGTGTTGGAATTGAACAAGCACGTGAATGGATACGTGAAACATATGATTTAATGGAAAAACATTTTTGGTTAAAAGATAAACGTTTATATGGAAGTGAAGCAACAGGTGATTGGAAATTAAAAGATTATCGTGGACAAAATGATAATATGCATGCATGTGAAGCAATGTTAGCTGCATATGAAGCTACAAATGATAAAATTTATTTAGAACGTGCAAAAACATTAGCGGAAGTTATGACTGCTAGTTCAAAAGAATTACATTATCAAATATTAGAACATTATCATCTTGATTGGACACCAGATTTAGAATATAATAAAGATGTTCGAACAAATATATTTCGTCCATGGGGTATACAAACAGGTCATCAAGCTGAATGGGCTAAACTTTTACTTATTCTTGATCGACATGATTCTCAACCATGGCATCTTGAACGTGCTATTCGTTTATTTGATCGTGCAATGAAATATGGTTGGGATGAAATTAATGGTGGATTAATTTATGGTTATGATCTTGAAGGAAATTTATATGATGGTGATAAATATTTTTGGGTACAAGCTGAAAGTTTAGCAACAGCTGCTTTACTTGGTGGTAGATTAAATGATGAAAGATATTGGCAATGGTATGATAAAATATGGGATTATAGTTGGAAACATTTTGTTGATCATAAATATGGAGCTTGGTATAGAATTTTAACTCCAACAAATGAAAAATATTCCGATGAAAAATCACCAGCAGGAAAAACAGATTATCATACAATGGGTGTATGTTATGAAGTACTGAATGTTATTGATAAAGAATAATTTCAGTCGTTGTTTTGTTTTGAAATAAAATAGATATTAGAATTTTAACTTTTTGTATTCATTTATAGAAATCATTGAAGTTATGTAATGCTATTGCATTGAATTTTCTTATTTCAATTTGCTGATACCACTACCTCGAAATCGGAAGTTTTCATAAGATTTAGATATCGAAATTATTATACATAAACTTGACCTAAGCAATATTATTCTCATAATGATTTAGTATTATATTAAATTCAGTAATCAAGGAATTGTATATATATTTCTTACATGCTTCTGTCAACATACGCATAATGTATAGTCAATTCAAAAAAAAACTCATTAATCTACGAAAAAAATTTATATAGTTGTAAGTGATTAATATGTCTGATCAATAATTGTTTGATATTTTATTATGTTGTCTTTGAAAAAAGATTAATTTGAACATTAATGAAATTTAATCTTGAGGGTGGGATGTGGCAGTGGGACAAGCAGGGATCAAAGCCCATACTCCATTCACGCTCATGCCCACATTCTCTTTTTCTCTTCTTAGCAAAGTTTTTTTATGGTGACGAACGAAAACGATTCATTTGTAAAAAGTCAATTTCCTTCATCCGTCATCCGATAAAAATTTCAATTGAAAGTTAAGAATAAAAAGATGAAAGTTCAATCATATATCTATTTTCATTTAATTACACAATCTTCCGCTCGGAAGCAGAGCATATAATATTCGAATCATGAGTTATAGTACATATTATTATACATTTACATTTACTCTCATAGAATATCTTTAATAAATTCGGGTATATATATATCGCAGTTCTCGTAACTTTTCCTTCATCAGACGAGGCCTCGTTTAACACTATAACAACTCAATTCCATGTAAGTTATTCTTTTTTTTATCTTTTCTGATTTTTCCTCCTTTTGAGATTGTTTTATTCCACAATCACTATTTAAGATAATATTTTTTTTTCTTCTTTTTTTTATTACAGAGAATACTCGCAAAGGATTAAAACTATAAACATGTCTGAGAAAGTCATTTATACACATACGTGTGTATGTGTATTACTTTATCAGTCGGCTTTCTCCATGACTTTTTAATTATTTACAGTTCTCTGTACGCGCGTGTGAGACATTAAGAAATAGAATTGATTTAAGAATAAGTGAACAAAATATTCGTTTATTTAATTAGTAAATATTCTTTATACTCTGTAAAAAAAAGGGTGGCATAGTGAACCTTTTTTTCGGTTCCAGTAACAAAATCTATAACTTGAAAGGGTTTTAACCAGATATACGGAATCAAAAAACATTTTAGAACCTTTTTCTAGAACCTAAAAAAAGGTTCTGAAAATGGTACTCAAATCTAGAACCATAAAAGGTTCTAGTTCTTCGCTAAAACCTCTTATGGTGCACTATGGCACCGTTTCTTTTTAAAGAGTAATTTCTCTTTTACAATTTCAATACCCTTTTCCACATCTTTAATCTGACGATGAGTTTCAGGAAATGCACGCTGACATATGTTCAGAGCACATTCTAAATGTGAGAGTGCTTTTGAATAGTCTCCTATGTTGTCATACACGAAACCGATGTTGTTGTACGAAGCAGCCAAATCAGGATGATTTGAAGGAAGAGTTTTTTGTTGAACGTCCAGTGCTTTCTCATAATATGAAAGTGCTTTTGAATACTCTCCGATGTCGTTATACGCGAAACCAATGTTGTTGTATAAGGTTGCCAATAAAGGACAATTTGGAGGAAGAGTTTTTAGTTGAATTTCAAGTGCTTTCTCGTAATAAGAAAGTGCTTTCGAGTACTCCCGCATGTTGTTATACACTAAACCGATGTTGTTGTATGAAGTAGCCAAATCAGGATGATTTGAAAGAAAAGTTTTTTGGTAAGTGGCTAGTGCTTTTTCGTGAAATGAAAGTGCTTTCGAGTACTCTCCCATGTTGTTATACAATACACCGATGTTGTTGTATGATTTAGACAAATCAGGATGATCCGAAGGAAAAGTTTTTTGTCGAATTTTTAGTGCTTTCTCGTGAAATGAAAGTGCTTTTGAGTACTGTCCCATATCATCATACAGCCTACCGATGCTGTCGTATGAAGTAGCCAATGAAGGATAATTTGAAGAAACAGTTTTTTGTTGAATTTCAAGTGCTTTTTCATAATATGAAAGTGCTCTCGAGTACTCTTTCATGCTGTGGTATATCAAACCAATGCTGTTGTATGATTTAGCAAAATCAGGATGATTTGAAGGAAGAGTTTTTTGTCGAATTTCTAGTGCTTTTTCAAAATATGTAAGTGCTTTCGAATACTCTCCGATGTTGTTATACGCGAAACCAATGTTGTTGTATAAGGTTGCCAATGAAGGATGATTTAGAGGAAGAGTTTTTAGTTGAATTTCAAGTGCTTTCTCGTAATAAGAAAGTGCTTTCGAATACTCTCCCATGTTGTGATACACCAAACTGATGTTGTTGTATGAGTTAGCCAATAGAGGATGATTTGAAGAAAGAGTTTTTTTTGTAAGTAGCTAGTGCTTTTTCGTGAGATGAAAGTGCTTTCGAATATTCTCCCATATTACTACAGACCATCCCTATGTTATTGTGTAAAATACCCAAATCAGGATGATTTGAAGGGAGACTTTTTTGTTGAATATCAAGTGCCTTTTTGTAAAACGGCAATGCTTTCGAGTATTTTCCCCGCTTGTCATGTACACTAGCGATGTTGTTGTATGCAGTAGCCAGTGAAGGATGATTTGAAGGAAGAGTTTTTTGTTGAATTTCTAGTGCTTTTGCGTAATATGAAAGTGCTTTCGAGTACTGTCCCATGTTTTTATACACCAAACCAATGTTGTTGTATAAAGTTGCCAGTGAAGGATGATTTGAGGAACGAGTTTTTTGTTGAATTTTAAGGGTTTTCTCGTAATATGAAAGTGCTTTCGAGTACTCTCCCATGGTGCCATACACTGAACCAATGTTGCCGTATGAGCTAGCCAGTAGAGGATGATTTGAAGGAAGAGTTTTTTGTCCAATTTCAAGTCTTTGTTCGAAATACCAAATAGCCTTTCCGTAATCACCTAGGTCTGAGTGAACAAATCCAAGCTGATTATAATAAAGCGCTTTTTCACCCTCATCAGATGTCTGCTCGAGTAGTGCGTTATACAGTTCTTGAGCTTTCTGAAATTGACCAATTTTATGCAATAAGTCACCCAATTTCTGCCATCCAGTACCGTGAACTTCTTTTCGTATTCGATCAGTAAGTAAATGTAGCTGTTGATCATCATCTGACGTCAATTGTAATTCAACTTCATAAAGTTGATTGTCATTGTCCTTTTGTCTAATTGCAACCACTCGAAAGACGGTGTGCATTGAGAAGAGAATTTCATCTTCTTCATTAAAATAACTCATCTCTTTTATGGAGGCAAATGGTGTTGATTTAATACAAGGATCAATGGACATTATAAAGAGAATGCCCACCGTATTCGGTGTTGTCGAAGCACATTCAGCATATTGGAGTGACACTTCTTTATCTTTACTGGTAGACAAGAAATTGTTAAATGACATAAGTCCACCTATTGTTTTTTGAAGTTTTTCAAAGTCTGATTCCGTAAGACTTTGTCCTCGATAGACTAAAAAAGGCTTTTTATCGTAGCTATTAACCTGTTGTTCGTATAATTGCTGAATTTCTTGATGTAGACGACGTAGGAAAAATCCCATAGTAATAATTATATCGGCTTCCAATGTTCGAAGACCATAATTGAGCATAGAATAGATATTGGATGGGAAAGTATACCACCAAATAGCTGGTCGAGAATTGTATTCTTTCTCAAAACGGTCAATATATGCTGGTGACAAGCAGTCATGATTTCGACAGTAAGTAATAAAGTCTTTGATAGCTTGTTTATTATGTTGCATATCAAGAAGAATTTCTGTGAATAGCTGGGTGTACATAAAAGTTGGCTCCAACTGATTGAAATTATCAGTTAGAGTCATATCATTGACCGTGACAAAACTCATGGATATGGAGTCTTGATGGTATTGTTTGATACCTAATTGTAATGCTTGGTATAAGCTATCGATGTTTGTATGAATGCTTTTGATTTTTTGCCATTTTCTTGTCCATTCTTCATGTAGGATTTCGATATCATTGAATACATAAATACCATGCAGCTGAGGAATATCATTGATGAGAGGCATAATTTGTTGAGCTGTAGTATTTTCGAGAATGAGAAAAGACTTGATGTTTTCTTGAGCATCTGTAAGATAGTCGATGCATACATTTCGCTGCTTAAAGACGTTGACATTGCCAGTAATGGTTTTTAACTGCGCCAAAATACTTTGATTGTCTTTGTCTGCTTCTTCCATACATTCATATAACCAGAGGAGTGAATAATCTTGTACCATACGTCGTCGCTGATCTCTGCTATTAGATATGGCATCCATTTCGTCTGTTATGCGACAGTAAAATGGTAAGTTTGTGAGTTTTTTGCCTGAGTTTATAATGGTGAAGGCGATGAATAAGCTTTATTATATATATATATATGAGAATCAAATTTCTTTATCTCAGTGTTTTTATGACGTCATAGACTATCTTCTTTTATTTATTTTGATTTATCATTATAGACTTTTGTCCTTTGTATCATTTTATGTAAATTATAGAGTCAGATGATTATAAAGAACAGCAAAAAAGGAATTCATTTTTTCCAACTTTCTTTAAAGATAAGAGATAATATCATCACTAGGAAAAAAACCCACATTCACCTTGTAAATAATGCACGTCAAAAGTCTCGCAACATCTTCTTTTGTTTTTGAATGGTATATTGATATTACACAAGGATACAATTTTAATAATAGGTTTTTTTATGGACGATTAATAAAATCTACTAAATGTTGTAGACATATTATCAGTTACAAGAGTAAATAATAATTAATACTAGACTCGTTGCTCGATAATTTAATAATTGATTTTATATTAGAATTATTTCCTTTTCTGAAAGAAAGGGTTATACAGCGTTTAAATCATGGGCTAAAAATGCTTAAAGTAATATTAACTAGCAGAAATACTCACCGTTGTCAAGAAAACTGAACACAAGTGAGATATATTAACCATACCCACATCGTTAAAAACCATAGTAATATTAAAATAATAATTTAGTAGGCGAAGAAAATTATTTTTATAAGAAAACAAACATGATTAATCAAAAACCTTCTTGATTTAATAAATTATTTTACTTGCGAGTAAAAAACAAAAAAAAAGTATTTGTAATCTGCAAAACAACTGTGATTTGACATGAAAATATTTTGAATATTCATTAATTAGTTGAATAGAATACATTAAATACGATTAGAGAACGAAAATAAAAGTATTGATGAGCCGAAGAAACCGATTTCTGAGTCATGACGCTTTTGAATAATCTGTTGTGCTTATATAAACTCTTAGCCAGATGGCTTCAGTCTACTCCAAGCATTCGGAATAACAGACTGTCGACAAATGAATTTTCAATAGTAAGTCAATATTGTTTAGTACAATATATATTTTATCGATGTCATTTAGAGTAGAGACAAATCAAACACTTTTATTTCTTTAAGAGAAGTAAATACATAAATCTATACAAAATTCAAGATTAAATTAGTTTATTTCATAATCCATAGTGACACAGATCTCTGTAGAATTTTTGCATTTTAGATTTTGACAATACTAGATCGAAGTGTTTTATTCACAAACCGAAACTTTAAACTTAACAATAATTTGTTTTAAATAATATAATTTAAAGAAAAACAAACTAATATTTTTCTCGTTATTATAACAATCAGTTCTTATATTTACATTCAGATGATTAACTTAGAAGATATAAACTCGTTTAAATATTAAATAGATTATATTTTCTCTCACATATTTATAAAAACAAAAATGTAAACTATGTACTTGCAAAGAAGAATAGAAGATAAAGTAAATAACAAAAGAAAATGTCAAGAACAAATATGAATAAAATAAATCAACGCACCTGGTAAAAATAATAATAATATTTTATATCTCTTTTTGATCGTATCGACTAACTCTATTGCAATGAATATAGAAATAAAATATACACAAATATTTATTAATAATGAATGGCATAAAGCAGACAATGGAAAGACATTTTCTGTTATTAATCCAAGTACAGGTGAAGAAATTTGTCAAGTAGAAGAAGCTAGTGAAGTATGAAATTAAATGTCAATTTACATCGGTGCATTTATTTTCTATTACACTAGGTTGATGTCAATAAAGCTGTTGAAGTTGCTCGTAAAGCTTTTAATATAAATTCACCATGGCGTAAATTAGAACCTGCTACACGTGGAAGTTTAATACGTAAATTTGCATCTTTACTTCGACGAGATATTGATTATTTATCTGTAAGATTTAATATATCAAAATTCTCAAATAAATGGTATTCTTTAGAAATTAGAAACATTAAATAATGGTAAACCTCTAGAAGAAAGTAGAGGTGATATTAATCTATCAGCTGATTGTATGGATTATTGTATGTAATCTATTCTAATTAAAAAAACAAATCTATTAATAAAATTTGTAGATGCTGGTTGGGTTGATAAGATAACAGGCGAAACAATTCCTTCTGGACATGATTCATTTATTTATACCCGACATGAACCAATTGGTATTTGTGGACAAATCATTCCATGGTTTGTTTATTGTTTATTTACAAAAAATAAATCATATATTTATTTTCTCTAGGAATTATCCAGTTTGCTTTTTTTTTCTTTCAAAATTATGATATACTATGATTTTATCTAGATTATGATGTTAGCTTGGAAATTAGGACCAGCTTTAGCATGCGGTAATGTAATCATTCTAAAACCTGCTGAACAAACACCACTTACTGCTCTGTATTGTGCTGCTCTTATCAAAGAAGTAATATATTAATAATTTAGTAGAAACTATATTTATTTATTCTTAATTTAGGCTGGTTTTCCGCCCGGTGTTGTTAATATTCTACCAGGTGATGGACCCATATGTGGAAATGCCATTGCGACTCATAAACATATTGATAAAATAGCGTTTACTGGATCAGTTGAAGTAAAGTTCTCGAAAAAAATGCAACAAATTTAGATAATTTTTACAATAGACTGGAAAGAAAATTCAAATAGCTGCTGCACAATCAAATTTAAAACGTGTTTCACTTGAACTAGGTAAATAATTTTTCTATTTATATTCTTTTCTATTCATATAATACAGGCGGGAAATCTCCATTGATTATATGTGAAGATGCTGATCGTAAGTTAAAGAAAGTCAATGAAATAAATTTATTCATTTTTATTCATAGTCGATTTCGCGGTTAATCTTGCTCATCGAGCAATATTTACTAATGCTGCACAAAATTGTACAGCTGGATCACGAACATTTGTTCATACAAAACTTTATGATGCTTTTATTGCTCGTAGTATTGAATTAACTAAAAAACGTATTGTTGGAAATCCATTTGATGCAAATACAAAACAAGGCCCACAAGTATGATCAGTAGAATTATTTGAAAAATAAATTTTAATAACATTTTAGATTAATGATAGTCAATTTAAAAAGATTTTAAATTATATTGAATTAGGAAAGAAAGATGGAGCAAAATTAGAATATGGTGGTGAACGAGTTGGTGATAAAGGTTACTTTATTCAACCGACGATTTTTAGTGATGTTCAAGATCATATGAAAATTGCTCGTGAAGAGGTTTTGAGTTTTTTTCTATTTAAGATTTTAGTTTGTTTTAAAGAAATTCTATTTAGATTTTTGGTCCAGTTATGTCTATATTAAAATTTGATTCATACGATGAAGTAATTGAACGTGCAAATGATACATGTTTTGGTCTTGGTGCTGGAGTAATAACAAAAGATTGTAAGTTTGTTTTTTGTTCCGAATAACAAATGATATTTCTCTTTTGTTTAGTAACACGTAGTCTTACATTTGCTCAACAATTACAAGCAGGTTCTGTTTGGATCAATGATTATGATGTTGTTTGTAATCAAGCACCATTTGGTGGTTATAAACAATCTGGTCATGGACGAGAATTAGGACGATATGGCCTCGAAGAATATTATGAAGTGAAAACAGTTGTCATTAAACTTATTTAAAAACGAAAAATATATTTTTTTCAATTTACATTTTTTCAATCACACATCCGAAACTTCTGTCTAGACTTGATAAATATATTAAAAAAAAAATTCTATTTGAAAGAGCATGTCAGGATGCACTATAAAATCCTTCTTTTAATTAATCTTTTTTTATGTATTACATATGCACATACTAACATTAATGGGCAACTATTTTTTTATGGGTTTTATGAGCCGCTCATCTTGTGATTCCTTTTTTTCCTACTTAAAAAGTAAGAATTGAAAAAACGGCCTTCAGCTGCATCCTGACATGAGCTAGATTACTCTTACTGTATGTATACATGACCCAAATCCAAACTCGAATTCAAACCGTTCGGGAGTTTGAGTTTGGGTTTGAGTTTAAGTTTGGGTTTAGGTTTGAGTCTGGGTTTGGATTATGCCTAACTGTATGTGCATAGAAGTGAGATGAACATATTTTTTTCAATAATTTGACTTTTCATAATTTCTTTTTTTTTTTTCATTGAAAAAAATCATATCAAACAAACAACAACACTGCAAAATAGAAGACAAGAGAAAATAATAATATTAATAAATCATAACAAATCAAAACAGAAACATATATAAATGGACGGATTTAATATGTGTGAATTGTTTGTTTTTTCTTGGAAGAAGAAGAAGAAGAAAAAAAGCCGACAAAAATACACAGAAAATGTGAACAAAAATTCAAAGATAGAAACAAAAAATAGAAAATCCTAAACACAGCGAGCAAAAAAAGAATAAGAAAACAAAAAAGAGAGAAAAAAAAATCAATCTTC